AGAGAGAGAGAGAGAGAGAGAGAGAGAGAGAGAGAGAGAGATTTCTAAACCCTTAATTCTGGTAAAGGTTGCCAAATTAATTTCAGAAATACATTATATTTGTTTGTTTGTTGTATATTTATGCTACTGCTTCTGTCAGACTTATGAGGCCATATCTCTTAGCTCCAGGGAAAGTACATTCTAAGAATTAAATATTTTCTCTTAGATGATTATGGAGTTGAAAATATTTAATTGTTGGATACAATGCCAAGCATATTTTAGATTAGTGTGAATGATTAAAAATACGCCAGAAGGATGAGCCACAAACCAGAAGGAAACAGCAAAAAGACACAGCTGATAAAGAAATGTTACCCACAAAGATAAGACAGGAAGCATCACAATCCCTGACTTGAAATGATACTATAAAACAACTGTGAAAAAATCAGCATAGTACTGGAAAAAAATATGATATGGAAAAAACAAAAACAAACAAAAAGACCAGATCCCAGGATCAATAGAACATATTAAAAGATAAAAAGACAGCTACAATCATACTTAGCCACCTTATCTTTGCCATAGGGGCTAAACATGTTCACTGGAAGAAAGATAGCCTCTTATATAAATAGTGCTATAAAAACTGGCTCTTTATATGCTGAAAACTAAGACTAGACCCATGTTTAATACTGTGCACTAAACTAAGTCAAAATGGATGAAAGATCTAAATATTGAAACAGATGTACTAAGTCTACTGGAAGAGAAAGTAGGTAGAAATCTTGAAGATATAAGGATAAGCAGAGATTTTTATGAACAAAGCCAAACTGCATGGGAAATACTTCAAAGAATCAACAATTGGGATCTCATCTTATTAGAAGGATTTTTTTTTTTTCTCATAATGGCTTCAGGGCAGGTTTGGCTGGCTTGAGTTGTGGGGATTGAACCACAGCAACTTGAGCCTGACTGCTTTGTTGAAGCAGCCACTTAAAGAACTGAGCTAAGGGCCAGGCTCCCAATCTCATCTTATTAAAAATTTTTTGTACATCAAAAGAAATCAGAGTGAAAAGACAAATGAAAGAGTGGGAAAAAATTTAGCCTGTTGTTCCTCAGACAAAGAACTGAAAATATCAGATCCCATCAAAGACCCAATCCAAAAATGGATATCTGAGATGAATACATACTTCTCAGATGAAGAAACACAAGTGGTAAATACATATATAACAAATGTTCAACATCCCACACTAAGTGTGTTCCCTACCATAACGTGATCCCTACCATAAACTACAGACTTGGGTGGTAATGATGTGTCAGTGTAGCTTTGATAATAACAAATGTACAATTGTAGTGCAAGATAATGGTGGTAGGGGAAGGCTTTTATGTGTGTTGACAGGGGTTATGTGGGAACTGTATGCTGTCTGCTCAATTTTTCTGTGAATCTAGACCTTTTCTAAAAAAATAAATCTGCCTTTGAAAATGGATCAAGAACTCTGAAATTTAAATTTTTGTTATAAAAGTGAAGAAGTATAGAGGATTCTCAGGACTTCCTGTCTGGTTGCTAAATGTATCTCAGCTCTATGATGCCTGTAGTTGAGGGGTGACGAACTGTCCACTGGAGGGAGAAAAATAGGATCATTCTCAGTATTCAAGTCATTCTTGTACACAAAATTTGGGCATCACTGAGGACTTATTTGTGACAGTACTTAATAGAAGGTATGGGAAAAAATAAAACTAATATGGATATTTAAATTTTTAAAAAATTGTTATAGTAAAAGACATAGCGCTATTAATCCCCCCAAAATATCTTCCCTTGCTTCAAAAACACTTATCCCATCATTTTTGCTACTTTCTGAGGCATTTCTGGAAGTCCTATTTCTTATCTTTAATTGTTATTGTGGCTGCCTCAATGTCCTGACTTAATTCAGAATTTTTATTTTTCCTAGTCATTTTGACTTTAGAGAAGAGCCAAAAGTATCATAGTGCTAGGTCCAGAGAATAAGATACAAGAGGACAGTCTTAGTTACTTTTCTCGTTGCTGAGACAAAATGTCCAACACCCAAAGTTAAAGGTGGATAGGTTTATTTCATCTCAGTTTGTAGAGATTTCAGTCTGTACTCGGCTGGTTCCAAGTAGGGATGGATGGCAGACAGGCATTACAGAGGAGAAACATCTCGTAGTATGGCAGGCAGGAAGGCAGCAAGCAGCCAAAGCAGTGAGCAGCTGTCTGCATTCCCTCTCTCCCTTTGTATTCTGTCCAAGCTATAAGTCTGTTGATTGGTGCCACCCACATCAAGGGTGGGGGTTCCATTTATATCCTTAATCCTAGTATCACACTTTTTAAAAACTAAACTTTATTTATATATTTTTTACAAACATAATGATCACATTTATCACAGGGAATTTTTACTTGCATAATATATCTTAATTCTTTTTGTTTTCCCATTCTCTTCCCTTTCCATCAGTCCTTCTCCCACTTTCCACTGACAAAACTTTATTCCTATTGTCTTCCTTCCCTCCTTTTTTTTGGGGGGGGGGAGGAGCGGGGAGGAGGTCTCACTATGCAGTTTAAGCTGGGCTTGAACTCACTATGTAGCCAAGGCTGGCCTCGAACTTGCAGTGATCCGCCTGCCTCAGCTTCTAGGCACGTGTAGTCCCACCACGATAAGCTCATTCTTTTTTTATAAATCCTTATTTCCTTTCCTTCCTTCCCCTCTCTGCTCCCTTGTTCCCCTTCCCATTTTTTCTCCTTTCTAATATTATTCTCCATTTTGGTCCTTATTTACACTTTGGGTTTCTCACACAAGAGAAACAATGGGATATTTAAATATGTGTGTCCCCAGTATCACACTCTTAATCCACATTTGCATGCCCTAATCCAACCACCTCCAGAACTCCACACCCATGACAGTATGAGGCTTTTGTGGGACATTTATACAATCCATAACAAGGACACACCACAATGTTTTTACAAACCTACCTTTCCTTTGGTTGGCATGTGGCATTATCATTCGCTGTATTTTTGTTCACACCTCTTGAAGAGACTCATAAAAGAATTACAGAAGTACTTCAGAAAGTAACAAGAACAGTGGCATAAATGTGTTTGAAGCAAGGGAGAATAGTTTGAGAGAGATTAATGGCAGCATGTCTTTTACTGTTATAAATATTTTAAAATTTAAACATTCACTATATAGTTCAATCATACCTTGTATTCCTTGAAGTTTTCTTTAAACCAAGAGTAAATTATAACTGTTTTTGTTCTTTGATTAGAAAGATTGTTAGCATTTAAATTGAAAAAATAGAGATAACTTTTAGTCTAAAATATTAATTATGGGCCAGGGAGATGGCTCAGTAGAATAAGTGCTTGCCTGGCAAGTGCAAGGGCCTGAGTTCAATCCTCGGTTCTAATAAATAAATAAAATATTAATTATATGGAAGGAATTACTGAGTTGAGAAGGATAAGACAGGGTGTAGAGGAAAGAGATATATTTATGTGTGTAAGCAGGATGGTTTGGACAACTACTGTGGATTTCTGCTGGTCTATGGAAAGGAGCAATTAATCTTTATTTTTTTTGTCTTCTTTTTTGAATTATTTTTCCTTTTTCTCTCTTCTTACTTTTTTATATTTTTTCTTTTATCCAATTTTGCATGCATATGTATGGTAATATGCACAACTAATTTGAAGACAACACTAGGCAATACAACAATTACTGTGAAATTTGTATTATTTTGTTTAGTAAAATTTTATCATTTATACTTTTTCTGTTTTAATATTACTTTGTATGTGTTTTAAAATATGAAAAATAAATAAAATACTAAGCATGTGATAACTGAGGGGTTTCTTTTTTCTTCTTTTTTTAAATTTGTAGATTCAGAATGTTCTTCATGAATTTTTTCAAAGACCATGTTTTGCAATTGGTAAGTATATCTACTGGTTTTTTAATTTCTTTGTTGTTAGGGGTGGGGTGGTGGAAGCACTGAATTTAGATGAAAAGTCAATATTAAAAGATGTTACTGAAAGTTCTTATAGATAAAATTAATCTCTTTGACTCTTTCCAGAAAACAAAAAACAAAACAAAAACTAGAAAATCTGGGTAGAATCACTGTCAGTTCTTTTAGGCCTGGGCTCCATTTTATTATAAATATTCTATGATACCCCTTTATTATCCTGTGACAGTGATGGTAAACCTTGTAGAACTTTCAATGATAACAGATTCAACACACATGTCATAGATTTATCACTATTGTCCTATAACATTGTTAGAAAATATTACTCATGTAACTTGTTTCTTGTGTATTTGGTATAGGGTCTCACTACACAGCTTGGACTCATAGTGATTTTCCTGTTTCAGCCTCCCCACCGTTGGGATTACAGGTATATGCCACTACACCCAGTCTTGGTGGCTGGCTCAGCGTGCCCGGGGCAAATCGGCACAACATGTGGCATGTGGTACTGGGGTTCGAACCTGGATTCTTGTGCTTGCCTAGGCAGGCCGTTAAACCTCTGAATTATCTCTGTGGCCCTACTCACATAACTTTAAAAACAAGATGTCATAACTAACATAAAGGAGAATAAAAGTCACATGTACTGGGCCGGCCAAATAGCTCAGCAGATTAAAGTGCTTATAAGCAGGCACAGGGGCTAGAGTTTCAATCCCTTGGCCTGCCATGCCAGCCCTGCCTTTGGGGCACACTGAGATAGCAATTGAGACTGAACGTTGTGATGTATGCCTGTAATCCCAGCTCTTAGGAGTCTGTAAACAGGCGGATCACTATGAGTCCAATCTAGTCGTGAGATATTGAACACCCTGTAGACCCTTCCCTAAAATACAGAAAAAAATGTTGCATGTACTAGTTTCAATATTTATCTATTTTATTACAACTTTGCTAGAAGACATAAGATAGTAGCCATACAGTTCTACCTCTTATTGTGACCACTCAGATATAAGAAGAAAAAAAATATATCCAATTGATCTTCTTTGTATTTGACATTTTGAAGTAAGGGCAAAATGAATGGATTTGTGTGTATCTATAGTTCCTGTGATTATGTGTGCATATAATCCCCTGTGTCTGTCGTACTAGAATTCAGATACAATGTATGTTACCTTCTATGTAGCACATTTTCTGAAATTATGAACAACTCTTGGTCAAGTTCCAGAACTAATTTGGTATTTAATCTTCCCTGAAATTTTCACAATAGTTAGATTTTTGGAAAACTCAACAGTAAAATTAAGGATGAGGATGTGGCTCAGTGATAGAGTATCTGCTTAACATGCATAAGACCCTGGATTCAATCCCTAGCACCAAAAATGGGGGAAAAAAACCCCCAGCAAAATTGTACTCTGTATCTATTACATAAAATAGAATTTGGTTCCAAATTCAAAATTATTAGATTTTTCACTTATGTGAATGTCTGACAAGAGAGGAAAGCCTTAACTGTGCAAAAATCATGGTAGTTCTCCCCATCGGTGCAATAACAAAAATTCTTCCACATTATTTCCACAGTGCACACTGGGGGGCAGAGATTAAAAGGGCCACCCCTATAGAGAATAGCAGATTTTGGTATCTTTATTTTCAGAAAGAGATTAAGTGAAAACAAAACAAAAAAATCTGATTTGTCACATAAAGAACATGAATTAAGGTCTTATATTTATAGAATTTACATTCAACTGAATTTTTGAATTAATTTTTTGATCTCTTGTAATATCATGCTTAACAATAGATGGTGAGAATTTTGAAGTCTGTTCTCTCCTTTTTTTCTATACTGATGACTGAATCCAGGACCTTGCACAAGCTGGGCAAGCATTGTATCATGGAGCTTCACTCCCAGTCCTATAATCACTTTTTAAAATAAAATACGCATCTCATCTTTCTGGTCACTGATCCCCAAACATGATTTGGGCCTTGTTGATAATCTTTTCTCCTTCTCCTTGCTCTCAGCCTACCCCCAAACTATAATTCTCCAGTCAGTTCAACCTCTATTCCTGTTTCTGAAATTCTTTAAAATAACCACACTTATTCATTTTATTTTGGATGTGGATACAGGAGTGACTTAAAATAACTCCCTATGGGCATCCTGATGAAAAAATTAGAGAAAATTGGCAAAATTAAAAAAGAGGCAAGCAGGGCCACAGAGATAGCTCAGTGGTCTAAGTGCCTGCCTAGGCAAGTGCAAGGACTTGGGTTCAATCCAGGGTACCACATACCATACCTGCCCCACCCTGGGCATGCTGAGCCAGCCACCAAGACCAGATGTGGTGGGGCATGCCTGTAATCCCAGCATGCTGAGGAGGCTGAAACAGGAGAATCACTGAGTCTGAGTTGCATAGTGAGACCCTTTACCAAATACATAAAATTAAAAAAAAGAGGCAAGTTGCAGATCAAATTTTTATTTGTACATAGAAAAAAACCCAAAAGACATATTGACATGTAAACATCTAGAAGTGCATACAAAGGTAGCCAGAGGACAATAAGCTGTTGACAGTGGATACTTCTGCAGCATGGAAGACTGGGACTAATGGGATAAGTAGAGAAAAAGAATATTCATGTTTTGCTGCTGATATCTTCATGTTATTTGAATATTTTGCTAAGAGAATATATTCATACATTGCTAATTTAAGAAACATTAAGAATCAAAGAGATCTTTTGATTGAGTCTGTTAGCATGAAACAGCACAGAATTGTTTTGTATCTTTATACTATTGTGCATGTTTGTTTCAGCTTTATCCAAAATTAGTTTAAAAAATTATAGCCAGGAATGTATCTCTGTGCTGGAGTGCTCACCTAGCATGCACGTCTATCCCCAGAACTGCAAAATTTTGAACTCAAATAAAAAAATGTAGGCTCATGTTTTTTAGCATTTAAGTTGCTTGATTAAGTAAAAGCCAAGAAAAAGAATAATTTTGTAGTAATTGAGATATTACCAGAGTATATATCTATTTTATTATAACTGTAGATAAATACTAATTGAAAATAATTTTATGTTTTTGTTTTGGGAACTATAATATAAGACATAAATGTATGAAACTAAATTAACTAGCAAATAATTTCTATTCCAAACAGAACCACGGTGCAAACAGTTGGATATTATTGACTCAATGGAACCAAGATTGAGCAAAGCAGAATTCATAGAAGTAAGAAATTAATATTATCTAGCATCAAGAAATAATCAAATTACTTATCTAGTTTCAAACTGTCTTTTTATAGATATCATACATACAGTAACTTATAATTAAATGAAATCATACAAATTTATGAATTCTAAGATACACATTTAAATTTTTTTAATCTCTGTGAAATTTGGCTTCATCTAACAATCAAAGACAGCTTACAATTTCTTTCAATCAGTGGCACTTATGATATGAAAAGGAAAAACTTTCACTGACATCTTATGTGAAAATAAAGAAAAATCAGTATTTTCTGTTCAACAAAAGCTGGTTGTACAAATAATAATGGAATCTGAAGCTTCCGAATAATTTCCTTTGGATTAGTCACTGTCCTAAACTAGCTGTATATAATTTGGGTAATCCTCTCACTAACGCTCATGCTCTACTTGTTTTTTAATTCTTTGCTTTTATAAATAAAACCACTAAGTTTCAGAAAGAATAATAATTTGCACATGATCCTGCCTTAGTGGAACTTGGGAAATATGTGTTTGGACAATTTGATTTCAAAATCTACATAGTGTGATACCTGAGAAAGTAGGATTCTATTGTCATAGAATAAGTGAAAGAAGCAATATAGTGATACTAGAATTCTCAGTGGGAATAATAGCACATTTTCTGATTTTTTTCATGGTTCCTCTATTTCCCCTTGTTCTCTTTAGTGAGTACTTAGAGTCAAGATAACTTCATTGGGCTGGCAAGATAGCTCCGTAGAGTAAGTGCCTACATAAGCAAGCACAGAGACCAGGGTTCCATCCTCAGCACCACATATTGCACCGGACCTGTCCTCAGGCTTGATGAGCCGGGCACCAAGTTTGGGGGTGGTGGCACATGCCCATAATCCCAGTGCTGGGAAAGTTGTAAGCAGGATTACAATGAGTCTGAGCTGCATAGTGAGATCCTGTACCAAAATAATTTTTTAAAGAAACCTTTCTCTTCTGCTTTGCCCTTTGCTCCACTGAAGGTGAATTCTGCACTAGATAAAGGTTCAAAGTTCTTTTAAAAAAAAAGTTCTATATGATGGATTTCCACAATCTTTTTTGAAATGATTTTTGTACATATCAGAATTTCGCAAATTCTAAATTACATTTTCATTGTATTTCCTTGGATTCTGTCTTTGTCTATACAGTACCCATCAATCACAGAGCCAAACTAATGAGCAATGTTGTTTATATCGCCCTTGTTCTGAAGAAGCCATGCAGTGAACCATCTCTATAATAATTCTTACACACCAAGTCAATATTTCTCTTCCCCTAAATGAATTCAGAGCCAGTTACTAACCAGGTATAGTTCCAGGACCCTGAAGTCTGCCCAAATTATTCAAATTAGGTGTTATGGTTTATGTCTAGTTATCCCCACAAAGCCTCTTGCAGTCATGGGGTGGGGACTTTTAGAGTTTGAGATTAACTCATGATCCACTGGGATTATGGGTCTTAGTACTTCTGGGATTATGGGTGTGAGTAGTACACCCAGCCTGGGGCATACCGCCTGAATGCAAGTTAAGGGAGACAGACTTGTGCTCTGAAACCATTGGTGCCACTACTGCTTCCATCAAGGAAGGAGGAAGGAACTGAGGCAGAAGGATGGAAAATTTCAGGCCAGCCTGGGCAACTTAGTGAAATCTTGTATCAAAATGAAATTCTAAAAAGCCTAGTAACATAGCTGAGTAATTTAGCTTTTTCCCAGTATAGTATGAATGAGGCTTTTGGTATATTTACAAGGTAGTATAATCATCAAAACAACTGATTTTAGAATATTTCCATCAACCTCAAAAGAAACTATGTTCATTAGCATTCACTCCCCATCTCCCTCCAAATCTCCAGCATGAGGCAGTCACTAATGTACTTTTTGTCTCTACAGCTTTGTCTAGTCTAGACAGTTCACGTAGGTGGATTATACTATATGTAGTTTTTTGATTTAGGCTTCTTGCACTTATCATAGTGTTTTCTAGATTCATCCATGTATCACTGCTTTGTTTCTTTTTATTGCCAAATAAAATATTGTCAAAAATATTCCTTAGTATGGACATAACACTTTTTATTTATCCATTCTTAAGTTGATGGACATTTAGATTAATGCTGCTAAGAATATTTGTGT